CCTTGTCGTTAAATTTGAGGGAGGATATACATAGGGCTGATTTCTTCTTAGCATTATGGAGCCAGGGGATTGTTCTGATGTACAGACTTCCCAACCAGAAGGACTGGGAGAGGTGGTTGTTCATATGCCCTGGCTTATTTCAGAAGAGTATTGTTAGACTGGGAAGAGGAGCTACAAAGACCCCCAAGAGAAAGTTGGGGTTTCACACTATATTAATTGGACTGTGATCTTTATATAAAGCATAAAAGATTTGGTACAAATTACCCCTGTACTTTGCTTGCTTTTATTGCTGTTTGCTTTGCATTTGAAATGTTATGTTCAGACCTACATAGTGAAATGCTATTATTGATTTAATAAATCATGAAGTAGATTGCCTTCTGGTTGCTGAAGTTGATATCTATTTAATTTGTACATAACTGTGGTTCTTATATTGTTATTAAAAATAAATGACTAACCTCCTTTCCTAATGCACTCTCCTGCATGTCAGAGCTGGTACAATGTCATCTAGGGCAGGCATCCACAAACAGGCACTACGACATCCTGCAAGTCTATGAGCACAGACTAATGTTCCCAAGAGAAAGGCTCTCCTTTTCCCTACCCAGCAATATGTGCACAATTTGGTTTAACCTTCTTCATGACAGCACCTTCAGCTTTCTGGAGAGTTTCTTGCAGAAGGACAAAAGGAGAGGAAAGGAGATGGTTTTGTCTGGGTATAAATCTCCTGTGTCCTGCACTTGGGAGAAAATCAGGGCAGGAAAGCTGAAAAGTCAGTGCTCAGAGTGGGATTAGTGGGAAAGCTAAAACGGAGCTAGTTTTGATTTCCACAGAGTGGACTTTGCAGAGCTGCATTCACGCTCTTCCACTGTACACTTAACTGCAGTGTCACTCTAATTTAAAACATTAATCTAGACTGTTAAATACAGCATGGATGTGTGACCTGGCACTAAGCAGTGCAACTGTGACAGTCTGCCTTTCTGACCAGGTCGGATCAGTTTGGCCAGAAGCATGAGACACAAAGCTGAAAGCATAGATCTCTAACCAGCATAAATCAGACCCACTTGCAAATACAATTGTGTCTGAAGTTCCAGGGTCCAAAGGCCTTGCTTCACCTGTGCAGTACTGCAGGATGTCCTTTAGGGGCTGGTTTGCTGCATGAAAACAGCCACTGCAGATGTGCAGACAGGGCATAAAGGGATGGGCATTGAAAAACCAGCAGGGCTGTCACTACTACTCCAGTGGCTGCTTCTTTCCTGTATCACACCTTGTAAGTGATAAGGTGCAAATCACCCTGCAGAAGGGAAATTGTGAAGGCTTTATTCTGCATCTCTGGGATTGCTATGACAGGTTCTGGACATCTCTGACACAGGAGTTAAACTCTTTCTCTGTATTTTCTTTGCATCCTTGGAGCAGCAGTGGTAGTTAATATAAGCCATCACCATTATAGCTCAGGATAAGCACCCTGATGAATCATGTAGTTAATGCTGTGCACAGCCATTGTTTTGGGCTGCTGATTCTTCAATTCCCAGACTGACCAATACATCTGGTCTTGGCTGGTGTCATCATATGCAGTCTCCTCAAATCTAGAACTAGGTTAACCAGACTTGAAATGGGATAGTAAAAGGTGTTAAAGAGCATAATTAGGAGAGCCCAGAACAGCCTAAGTCCTGTAGTCAACTTTCCTGCTTATCAGGAAAGGCATTTCTGGTTATCTTGGTTGTGGGCTTGACATCTGCTGTAGTGAAAGCAAAGCAGTGACACTTGGGCATGGTGGGATCCCTTACCCTGATCTTGCAGTGTATATGATAAAGGAATTAAGAGGGATTCCCAGCACACATAGGGCAAAGATCTTTCTCTCATGCTCCTTCATTTAATGGTCAAAGCTTTGCTTTTAGTGTATTGTACTGCCAGCCTTTGAAAGGCTGTGGTTTTGTTTTGAGTCTATATTGTTCTAAGTTAAATAGTAGGAAAAGAGAAATCTCTGCCACCATAACATTCTCTTATAGGTCTATTCATTATAGATCCCAAGAGGAAACTGAGAGTTCCCCTGGACAATGGCCTGATATACAAACGAGCATACATTAACTTTCTGTGGTTGTATAGTTCATTTGGGCTGCATTTCCTTTCCATTCTTAGGAACATGAATTCAGGCATCATTTGGTTTGATGTCTTCCTCTGCCTTGAACTGCTCTCTCGTTTGACATGCTGCACAAGAGCAGCCTGTCTTTGAGCCCTGAAGTGAAGGTGCTTCAGCAGAGGTGATGATGCACTTAGGGATGTGTTTGGAGACAGTGGCAGGGGTAGCACTCAAGGACCCCAGGCCAGGTCTGTGGGGTGTCCTCTCAGCTGGATGGGGGACGCTGGGGCAGCTGCTGGCCAGATGCTGTGCTCCAAAGCAGCAAGGACATCAGGTGGGCTGGACATGAGCCATGATGTTTAAGTAACTCAACTTCAGTCCCTTTTCCTTTGACAGACAACTTAGGGAGCTGGCTTGGGGCACATCTGCAATGGCTTTGGCAGCACTTACTCCAGAAGAGGGGCTGCAGCAGGGTATGATACAGTAACACCGCTAATCTCTGGATGGGGAATGGCTGATGCAATTACAGCTGTGTTCACTCCACTGATTAACATGGACACTTTGCTCAGGACCACAGCTCAGCTGCTGCGTGATCTGCACTCTTTGGTTTGTAGGTACCCATTCAGGTCTCCAGGCTTTGGGCACTTTGGCATTGCATTCCTCTCTGCAGTGCAGGTATGTTTTCTGCTCTTGTGCCTCTCTGCTCCTCCTCTGTAAATCAGGGAGATTACCACTTCCTTCCTCGCTGGAGGGATGGGGCGACAGACGGTTTGAAAAGAAGCAGGAGCTCAGGAACTGCAGCAGATTTGCTTCATCCTCCTCTTCCACCACCAGGGAAAAAGCCACTTGACGTTACATGGAGGCATTTAAGGTTGCAAGCGTCAGGACTGGGATACCGTGACAGGCACGGCCTGAACTGTCAGAAACGAATCTCTCCTGCTCCCCAGACTGACTCCTATAGAATTTGGGTTTGGCTGCTGCTCTTTTGCCCTGACATGTCACACTCTCACTTACTTTGCATAGGAACAGAGCCAAGCAGCTGAAAAAGATTAAAGACTAGATCAGTCATTGTTACCCAGCCTTCTGTAAACAGCCCTGCACAGTCTGCACAGTGACGCCTGCTCCTCACACGCTGCCTCTCCCATCCAAAAGGTGTGTCCTGTCCTACAGACGGCTCCGAGCTCTGGCTGGCTCCCAGTGCTTGCTCACATGGCTGGGTACCACCAGTGAGGCTCAGGGCTTGCAAGGCTGCAAGTTTTGCTTTCATTTCTTTCAATGCAGCAGATCCCACAGCCTCTAAGCCCACGCAGATGCAGCAGGCTGCTACTTCCCTCTGAGGAATAAAGCAGCACACATACGCACACATGCATGGGTGCAAGCGGATGCACCATCACTCCAGCTGCAGCTATATTCCAAAAAGCCTCTTGGTTTTCATTCTGACTCTGTCTCCTGGCACAGAGAAATTTGCAAAGCTAATTTTCAGCTCCTGTTTAATGGATTCCCCTGCTGAGTGTCTGTTACAGTTAAAGGATTCCAGATTGAGAGTTTGTTCTCATCTCCCCTGCGCCCATCTATGTCAGAGGTACTTCTTGGAGAGCTGGTTAATGAGCCTGGAGTGCGACTGAGTGTTTGTGCTGAGGTTCAGGAGGAGTTTCCCCTCCTCCTTGGCTGAAGGCAGCCCTCACACCCTTATAGCTCATTTGTTTTTACACTGCGTTCACCCTAGTAGAGATAAGGTGATTACAGATATCAGACTGCACAAGGGAATACTGCATTTAGCAAAGTTGAGAAGCAAAAGGAGGAACCCCCCTCACGAGGAGCCCACTTTTGGGAAGGAGGAAGGAGCTGCAGTTGAGCAGCAAGGTTCAAAATACATTGCTGTACTCTGTTTCTTCCTTGCCCCCTGTGCCTGACCCACTGGCCACCCTCAAAGGAGAGGGCACCACTGTCCACACCAGACAGTCACTAGTTCCAGGTCCCTCCAGCTCCTGCAGAACCAAAGAGCCTTTCCCTGGATGACCCTGCAGCTCAGCACAGAACTTGGAGCCAATTTACTCGAGCTCTAATTCCTGCTGTGCTGCAGGCTTCCTGTATGACCTTAGGTAAGATACTTATCTTATCTGTCTTCACTTTCCAGCAGCAGTATATAACAGCAATTACTTACTAACCTGACAAACATGTTGCAAGGTTAAATCCCTTTGTAAGCCATCTTGCAACTAATCTTAGAAATGCAGACTGTTACGATTATTACCATTATTATTGTTATTGCTATTTTGGTACTGTCCTTTCTCAGCCATGGATGTTTTGGTATGACATCTGCACCTCCCCAAACCTACAGCTAAGGTTTAAACATCAGTTTCCATGAAAGATCTTCACCCCCAGAGGCCCTTAGAGGGTAGGCACAGCCATGCAGAAAACAGAATATGAGTGGGACATACACCTGCAAACAAGCCATTTCACACATCTCATACCTGGACACCAAACCTTGAGGTTTAAATAAATTGAAATAAATTAAAATAATACTTATTTTATAATTGTTAAAGGACAAAAAAGAGACATGTTCCTCTTTGGAAAGCATTCTGGTTTCCCCAAGCAGCTGACCAGGCAGATCTTTAAGTATTTAAGTAGACATCTCTGTCTCCAGCAGGCATAAAGACATCTCTGCTGGGGCATCCTGGCAGGATAAAAGGAGTCTGGGGGGGGGGTCAAGGTTGGACCTGGGCATGGTGCAGGGTTAAGCATATGGTCAGGGTAGTGGCTAGGATTAGGAGAGAGAAGCTCTCAAGGATTAGGATCAATGTGTGTTGGCCATGCCTAGCTACTGAGGGAGAAGTCTGCCCCACAGAATGACTGTCAGACACCTCTCAGTGCCAAAGACCAGGGACCAGATGGGTTTATTGACCATCATCATGAATTTCTCACTTACCCTGTAGCAAAGTACGCTGTGAAGCCAGCCTGGAAAGTCTCCTGAACATGTAGCACTCATTCAGCCACTGCTTTGGATATACATGACCAATAATCTGTCTCTTTTCAGGTGCAGTTAAGCCATCTAAAAAGGATCAAATGATGGAAGAGTTAGGAAGTTGATCCTGACATCAGGGCTAAGCCAGAATTACAATTGCTTCATCTCTTACCAAGTGGTTTCTCTCACTTAAAAGAGATGAACATAAATTTGTTTTCACTGGAATATGCTTTCCTGGCATTTAAAATAAGATGAAAATACATAGGTAAACCAAAATACCTGGGCACTATCAGTTTTCATGGCTATTACTCTATTTGTCAGCTGTGGCAATCCATGTGCTGTGTGAACTGCAGCGCTAAGGGTACGGTATCTTTGTGCTTGAGAGGAACATATTCCCAAGCATGTTATCTTTGGCATGGCCAATATTTGATCTGCCAGAGCCAACATTAATGAAAAATTCCTGAAAAATTCCACATTTCAACACAGCACCACTCTGATGGGAATAACAATCTCTCCTGACCTCGTTCAAAAGCAGATAGCAAGCAGGATACAAAGGAGGGAGGGATTCCTGAATACCACTAACCAGGACTTTGGGTGCTTTGTGCTATGTTTGTGATGCCTGCCTGCCTTTGTAAGGGGTATCAGCACTGTTGGGTTGTGTACTCCCCATAGTACCTGCATCCAAAATCAGCATTCCTTGGAATACACATGCATGCAGTCAGAAACACTGGGCTGGCAAAAGGAAGAACTGCCTCTAGTTGTGTTGCACAACAGTCTTATCTCTTTGAAACAGTGATGCAGTAACTGTATAATGACAAGTATCTGTATGGAACTGGGTTTCCCTACTGGGACAATGCTGGTTTAAGTCATGAGTCTTTTTGACACAGGGGGTAAGAATATCTGTGATCCTTACAGTCAACATTAGCCTGGATGATCTATAATATTTGGGCTTATCTCCTCATTGCATTGGACAGTCTGGAAAACTAAACCAGTAGAGCTGAGAAATAAAACCCCAGTCACGAATAAGGTGGCCTTAAATCACTGTCACTGACTGCAAAGTGACAGAGCAGGGACACTTAAGGGACTAGTTCACTCTGATTTGCATGAATTGCATTCACACAGCTTGGCATTTCCCTTAGGAGTTCAGAGCATCCTGTACCTGTGTTGGAAGCAGGATAGCAGTAGGGGCTGACTGGCCCGTGGGCTGTGCCACAATGAAATCACTGACTTTGTGTTATATGCAGACATTGTGAACCACAACACGGAAGGCAAAGGAAAATCAAGACTAAGAGGCACCCAAAGTCAGCTTATTACACACAGACCAACACCTGACAAAGGGCAGGGCAAGCACTGGAATTTATTCCCCCTGTTGTCAGTCTATGACAGCATCTACTATCAACAACTGTCTGTCATGCCCCAGAGACAGGAGCAAGCCTGACAGTGCTCAGATAAGAGCAGGTGCTGATTTGATGCTGTGATCCAGCGCACAGACACAGTGCTGTGGAAATGCTCCGCTTTCAGCCCCTGGAAGAACTTCTCTTGCCAGATTCTCCCCTCCTTTGGAGACTTTCTAAATGGCAGATGCAAGAGCACACGATGTTCCTCCTGCATAGATGGGATCTCTGATGTGCTCATGCTCTGAGCTGCTACCTTTATTTCAGCGTTAAGGGATGCAAAAGAAGGGACAGGTTTGTGCCAATCACAGACTTGCCTAAATATTTATCTCTGCTAAAAACAGTTTAGTTTCTGGGTTTAGCCCAGGGTTGATTCTGATGAGACATCAAACACAATACACATGAATCAGGAACAGCACATCTGGCATCGCCTGAGTGCTGGAGGAATATAAATAAAGGAGCCAGTAAACTCCAGCTGGCGAGTTATTTGTACTGCAACAAGGCTGTCAGCTTTCTAATCCCACCACCCAGAGAAAAGAGGGTGCCATGAATCACTTGGAGCTGCCCCGTGGTCCCCGTCCCCCCCCTTGGCATGTGGCCTTCTTTCTGCATGAGAGGACTGGATAGTGAAGGATCATAACCCCTTTCTGGAGCCTGGTTTGCAGAGCAGCGAGCCAGGCCAGCAGTGCTGCCAACATTTAGAACGTTTCTGCACCAGGATGATATTTTATTTTTGGAAGTATCTGATACAAATGTTCTTTTCCTGGAAAGATTCCTCCTCCTGCCCGCCTCCCGCATGCTGCTGGGGCCAATAGTGCTGTTGCAACTTCCTTGTTCCCGGTTGTTTCCTACTATAGATTCCCTCCCTTCTCTCCTGGAGCTGATGGTCCAGGCTGCACCCTGCACTGTTCTGCTGGCTGCAAGGAGGTAAAATCAGCGCCTGATGTAGCTGCCCATGGAGAAGCACTTTGGGATGCTGGTGGGCAACTCTGGAGGCTTCTGGTTCATGCTATGGAAGGGCACAAGCATCATGGAGATGCTGTGTATGTGCCAGCCCTGGGAGGGTGTCTCAGATAGACACGGCAGCCCCTAATCTTCTCCATTGTGTGAACAGAACACATTACAGTGCTGTAAGGCCTGGTGGGTGCAGGGAACATCGGAGCTCCAGATCCATGTGCACGGGGACACTTAAGTACATGCTGCCCCTCACTCCTTTCCATCCTCTCATCCGAGGGGAGCACTGTCCTCAGAATTGAGTGTCCATTACTGTCTTTAACTCCATCTCTCTGCAAGCTGATGATGACCTTTAGTTGGGCAGAATTTGGCATGGAGACACGAACGGAAGCCTTGGAGCTGGGGGTTACACACACTGCAATGCCCAAAGAGCCACGTTAAACAATATCATCGTGCAGAGCAGCCGTGAAGGGACATTTATCACACTACTTCCCTGATTAGCCCGGGACACCAATTTTAGGTACTGTAAAAACAGTGAAGGTCAAATTTACTATGGAGGGCAAAGCCCAGTGATTCAGTTTTCCTTATTCTTCATAGTCCCTTTTCACCTTGAAGAACAAAAGGGCCTAAAGTCAGAGAACGTTTGTTCTTGAGTCTTGCCAAAGCCTCTTTTGCCTTTTTTTAATAACTCATCATTAAAATCTGGGCCCATTGCCTTGACAAAGGAAAAGAATAGATTTGTGTACACTTAAGAAACGGGAAAGGGCCTGTGCGCCAGGCCTAGTCACAGATAAAGGAATTCCGGACATTATTCCTTGTGCTCCTAGGGGTTGTGACATGGGATTTCCTTTCAAAGTGGTAAATAGCCCCACAGTTGTTGTAGGACAGGGTGGGGTGATGGCTGCGTTCTTTAAAAGCAGGAGAGATGAAAGCACACTATGAGAAGGAAGCCAGGCTGGGTACAATGAACCCCTGTGAGCGGGGCGAGGGGGCACCTTCACCCCACCCCGAGCACCAGCTCAAAGCTTTGCCCTCATGAGCTTCCCATGGTTTCCAGGTGCCACCAGCTGATCTCTGCCTTGAGAGGAGCAGCTCGTGTCATGGGGAAAGAGATTTAATGCCTAAGAGGGAGCCAAGATCTCGGGGCTTGTCAGCACCTTATGTGTTCCTCCTGGATCTGCAGGAGAGTGATGAACTGGTGGGGAAACAGGGTTATCTGAGGGTAACTCCTGATGTTTCCTGCCTGCTCTCAAAGCCAGGCAGCCTCTCACTGTGCACTGGGGAACATGGCCTGTTCGTCCTCACCATGGGGTGGGAACAGAGAGGGTGGCAGGGTGGCAGCTGTGAGCTTCAGGAGGAGCCTCACTGTGTTTTGAATGAGAGTTGAGGTCTTTCGTAATGCAAAACACCTTTCTCCTTTGCTGAATTCTGCCCAGGACTGGGGTGAGCAGGCTTTTCTTTTAAAAAGCACTAAAGCTGCAGATTTTATCCTTTTCCATTTTAAACAGAAAATCACCCAACTTTGTACCTGGATTACTTCTGCTGGGCTCGACACTGGGGACTCCCCAAAGCACACCGAGTTTGCAGTGCTGGGTGAAGTTGCAAGGGGAAGGAGCATGACTCGCTGGGTGAGGGAGAAAAGAACATCAAGCTGACTTTATATTTGGATCTGAACACAAAACCATTTCCTTTCCTCCCTCTTCCTGTGGCTGTCCTGGGGGTCAGCAGAGACTGCAGATCCTAAACCTTACTGTTAAAGCAGGGCTTGATGAGAAGGGGAAAGAAGATTTGCATGTTACTGTTCTCCAAATCCTCAGGATTCAGGTCTCCAATAATAAATGTTCAGTTAAGGAATCACCAGTGGAACACATAAATTAGCATATTGCAGAAGTTTGCAGGTGGAAGAGTCCTACATGATCCTTCTTCCTGCCTTTTATTGCTAGATAGCTGAGTTACAGCTCCATAATCCTTCTACCATCTAACAACACACCCACAGATGTGTTTTCCCTTTAAATTACAATGAGAGGATAGGGAAGTACATGATAAAATTGTAAAATCCAGCTTGGAAACTTCATGCAAAGTGGGAATGTCCAAGAAGTTGAACTGCTGCTTCCAGTGGAAGAGTCAGTTTGGATCTGCTGGGAAGGTTCTTGTTCCACTAGTGAATAAGACACATGGGAAGGGTGAGATATTGAAGTCCTAGTTGCATTCAGTCCCTACTGCAGCTCACTGGCTTAACAGATTGCGTCACAAGGGTCCAAGTCCATGCAGGACACATGGAGGATTCTAACCAAGTTCAGAACTGAAGACTTCAAAGGAAAAATGACAACTTTTCCTTCTTTCTCTTTGCCTCCTTCCTAACATCCCCCATTTTATTGAGAACCAGGGAAAAGAGAAAGTTCCCTTGTCCACTGCATCAACACAATAACTCTCTGGAATAACTGTGTGGCTGGTCTGAGCTCAATGAATCATACCGAGAATGACTCAATCAGTAAAGAGGCCATGCTGAGCACTGCTCACTCACCACCATTCCAGGCTGCACAGGCGACATTGCTGCCCCATGTATCTGAAGAGACCAGGAGAAAAGCTGCTGGTGAACAGCAGCAAAACTGATCTGAATGAGGCCCTGGGATTGCACCTCTGCCATGTGGGCATGGGGCTATGTGGCAGTCACACATCAGGAGAGTATCACTCCACTTGCATGACTTGGTTCATGTTTTCCAAGCCCCATCACAGTCT